AATTTGCCTTCGTTGGTTGCCCTTTCGATTTGTCGTTTACGAAAAACGATACTTTCGACTATTGACAAATTCGAAACGAACCGTTAGCGGTAATGGCGGCTGCTCTGACTCGCGTAGTGAATATGGACGTTTGAATTCTCATCGTGTATCGCGACGCAGCGCGAGTAACCAACGAATTGGGAAAATATTGTAAACTATTATTCGATGAAGAAATAAATATATCATTTCGACGAATGTAAAATATTATCGTCGACGTCTTTGCTCTTAATCTAACCTAAGTATTTGCAACGTGACGTGTCTCCTATAACGATGAAATTCAATGGCAATTGCTTTTATAACGCGAATAGGAGTTGTGGAACGTTTAAACGTTTCGTTGATTAAATATTATTACGAGAATGTGTAGGATTGTTTAAGAAATGCTTGTAAATGATGCTTTGACAGCGCATTGTACTTACGTCGCAGCTTTCCAATATTTTCTAGATCGATAACGAAATATTCTGTTCTTGAACGGTTACGTTTGGAGTACAGAGAACGCGATATGTTAATAATAATACGTTTTACGCACTGAAACCTAATAAAACACTTAAAAAATTGCCACTGAAATAGCATTACAAAAACAAAAAAAACCGTTACAAAAGACGATGAACTACTGACGCTACCTGACGGTCATGCTCCGAAGTTCCATCGTCAATTGAATGCTACTCTGTCGGTAAAGCGGACAACTGTACAGTTCAATTAATAATCGAATAAAGTTTCGAATAATTTAAAATATTTCGTGCAAAATAATATCTTCCGTAAATTATTCGTTGGTCTAATAAATTTTGAAAAATAGTCCTTTCCGTCGTATTAACCGTTTAAATGATCACATTGTTTCACTTTTGTACATATGAATCGCCAATTAAAAAATAAATGTAAACAACCAAAAGAATGCGTCTTAGAACACGACCATATTTAAATATTCGTGTTCATCGTATAAAACATTCCCTTTCGAAACTACTATTAGAAAGAAAATTAGAAGCACTATTTTTCACGCAAATAAATAAACACATGTGCAATTAATTATTCCAACATAACCACGAATTATTAACGGAAGAATCGAGGATATAAAATTTAATAAAAGATTGCAATATTACACAGGGAAATCAATGGAATCGATTGTCAAACATGGTTGAAAAAATTGAACTGGCAATCATACGACATGTCAATGCTAATATTAAGATATCTTATCGTTGTGTATTAACTGACTCACCGAAATATATGCGCCAGAATAAGACCCTCCGCACAGCATCAAATGCACTCATAGATTATCTGTAAAAAAAGAACATGTTTACATTATAACCTGACATTAATATGTACATCTCTCTATCAACATCTCATAATAATTGCGACGCTTTTATTTGACCTGTTAGCCGCATGGTTTTTCCGTCGTGGAATCCCCATTCCTATTTCCGGACAATAGGTTAAATATTCCAAGAAAAAGTGTGAAAAACATTCGAATAAACACAGCAGAGTAAAAAAGCTAACATATGGCTAATAAAATAATTGGCTCGAAATGCCGACGATAAAAAAGCCGTTTGTTCAAAGGATTAAATTCTACCATGTATGGAGTCATCGTTGCATGTGCAATTAAAGAAGCAATAAATTCTTAGATACGTTACAGATCAAGCTCCAGAATTAGCAACCGTTTGGAGCAGCAGATTATTTCGTTTGTAACGCTACAGTACTGACACGCGCTTGTAACTGGTGTACGATTAATTATAGCGCAAAAATTCATACGTAAAATGTTAAATCATAATCGAGAATGATGACTACTCAGTCATTGTATACTTGCCAAAGTCAAGGTCGTCCCACTTGCCATTGTAAGGTCAAGTAACGTCGTGTTTACAATGTCAAATCGAAGCTGTAATTCACGCGATGCTGCGACACACACGCACATGTCCCACGCACTAACATTTCTAACGAACTTACGACATTGTTCATGGCTAAAAAAAAGCGAAGCATCCCCGCTTGATCGAAT